TAGGTTGCAAACTGCACTGTTGAAAGAAGTTGGTGCAGCTAGGTGGCGCAGTGAATAGAGCACTTGCCCTGGAGTCAGGACGACCTGAGTTCAAATCCAGACTCTGACACATAACACTTACTAGCTGTGTGACTCTGGGCAAGTCACTTTAACCCCAATTGCCTCACCAAAAAAAAAAAAAAAAGAACGAAGTTGCCACATCAGTGAGAAGGGGATTCAACAAAGCATGGGAATAAGTGCATTTGAGAGGTACAAAGTATCCCTATGTGCTATGTGAGATATGAAGGCAGAGGTTATCAATTAGAGAAAGGTTTCTGAAGGAGATGGTCTTTAAGGGGAGCTTTAAATAACAGCTAAGTTCAGCAGGTAAAGACAAGGAAGAAAGGCATTCCAGGCAGAGGAAACAGCCTGAGCAAAGGTGCCAAGGAATGGAAGCAAATTAGAAGCAAAAAAGATCAAAAAGATGAGAAGAAGGCCCTGGAGCTCTTGAGTTTTCCCTGGAGGGAAAGTAATATGAGAAAAGGCTAGAAAAGTAGGGTGGCGTCAGAACACAGAAGACCTTGCAAGCTAGGACAGGGAGTATGAACTCGACTTGGGGGGCAGCAGGGAGCCACTAAGGATTCTTAGTCAGAGGACTCACATGTCCAAAGTTCTATGTTAATATTAAGGACTGCTATCAGCATGTAGAGTGACCTGAGGCTACTGCAATAGCCCCCAAGGCCAGAGAGAGGCTGAAGTGGGGCAGTAATAACAAGAATAGAGGGGAGGGATCACATACCGGAGTTTTTTTTATAAGAGATAGAATCAACAGGACCTAGTCACTTACTGGATGTGAGAGGTGAAGGACGAGGAAGAAACAAACATAACACCAGCATTGTGAATGTGGCAGATGAGGTGAATGTGGTACCACAGAGAGAAATAGTGAAAGGTTATTGTGACAATCAAATGACATAACATGTACATTGCTTTGTAAACCTTGGATCAGTAGAGAAACATATTATTAAGCTAGAAGTGGAAGAAAGTTTAGGGAGAAAGACAGTAAGTTCAGTTTTGGGTATCCAAGAATTGATATGCTAGAGGCAACTGGAGATCACATGATCGTAGATTTAAAGCTGGGAGGAATCTCTTAGAAAATTTAGTCCTGATTCCCCTACAAATGAAAAAACTGAGGATTAGCTAGGGAATGATCTGCCAAGGTCACAGAAGTAGCACTAATGGGAGCAGAGCTAGGATTTGAAAGTAAGCTCTCTGGTGTCAAATCCTAACATGTTCTAACTGCACCACACTGCCTCCAAATGCTAGCTGGGGGCCCAGAGCTATAGATATATACAGATATGTACAAATTTGGGAGTTAGCAGCATAAAGGTGGTGGCTAAAACCAAGGGAGTGAACAAAATTACCAAGGAAGGGAGTATAAATAGAAGAGAAAAGGGCTATGGAAAGCTACTAGGGGAACAACTGAATTAAGGAGTTGAGAAGAGGATGAGAAACCAGTGGTAGTTTCTTAGAGACTGTGGAGTGATTAGGGAGGAGAATGGGAAAGTTGTAATATCCCTAATGCTGAGGGGGTAGAGAGAATCCAGTAAGAGAATGTATATGGTCACATGTCAAAAACAGAAGAGAATGAGGACTGAAAAAGACCCTGGGATCTGTTGATTTGGGGAACCCAACTGTAAAGGGTCATGACTCAATATACAATAATAACAAGAGTGGGCTTTTATATAGCACTTTAAGGTTTGCAAAGAACTTCACATGTTATCTTATTTGATGTGTTATTCTCATTTTACAGGTGAGACTGTGTTTGAAGGAAGATTCTTCCTGACTCCAAGACCAGCTGCCCAGGGGCTATTCTGATACCATCAAGATACTAAAAGTACTTACAAGGTAGTGTTTGGAGATTTCTGCTTTCAGAAGGGGGTGGAGGGGATGGTTATGGAAAGCCATACAATGACTGCACAGGACTAAGAGGCTGGAGGGGTTGTGATAGGCATTGGTGGGAGGAGTATTCACCCCAAGAAGTCAAGAGATCCTGCTCCCATGCTTCAGCATAGTATTGACATGGCCTTGAGTTCTCAAGGCTATGCCGGTAGAGTACAAACCATGGAAAGTTCCACCAAAATGAAGACTTCAAGTGAAGACCTAGTGAGAGTTAGTTTGTCTGTTATCCAAGGGCCAATCTAGCTAAAAGTGGCCAAGTTCATCACCAAAGGTCTGGCCACAAGGTGATGACTTTTTTTGGCTACAGGAACACATCACCTTCATCAATCAATCAACTAGCATTTATTAAACACCTACCAAGCGCCAGTTGTGAAGAGGCTGTAATCTGCATTTCTGAACAAAGATGAACAAAATGGAATTACAGATCCTTAGAGTATTAATTAAAATGTCAATGACTAATGGGAAAATACACTTAACATGAATGTATATGTAAAGCCTATTATCAGATTGTACATCAGGGGAGGGGGGAGGGGAGAGAGAGAAAGAAGTGGGAGTGGGAGAAAATTTAAAACTCAAAACCTTTTGGAAATAAATGTTCAAAACTAAAAATAAATGAATTAATATTAAAAACATTTCAGTGGGAAAGCAAAAAAAACCAGAACTCAGTGTCAATGATACCTAATATTTTTCCTGGCACAGCTACCCTATGAAGTAAAGGGTACAAATACTGTTAGCCCCATTTGGCAGATGAAGAGAGGTCCAGTGAGATGAAGATGCCCAGAATCATACAGGTAGTAAGTGGTAAAGTTGCACCCATAGAATTTAGAGCTGAAGGATATCTTAATACAGGATGTCAGAGCTGGAAGAGACCTTGGTTCACAGAATGCTGGAGCTCAAAGGGTCTCTAGATATCATGAAATTGACCCTCTTCCTTTACAGGTAAGCCCCGGAAAGAGAAGTCATTGGCCCAGGCTCATGCAGGCAATAAGTGGCAAAGATGGGACTCCAAGCAAGATCTTTTAAATCCATATCTAGTGTTCCTTCCATGCTGTCTCCTACCACACAAGTCAAGGATGGAAACAGAGCATATCCAGTGCAAATGAACTCCTGGTTGAGGAAAGTAAATTTATACACATAAAACAAGAAGACAACAAATCAAACTGTATATATAAATATAATCGAGTGTTAGATTGTGTAGAAGAGTAAAGAGAGGGGAAATGTCAGTGTGGTATATTGGCAAGAATAATACGAGTCACAGGACCTGGATCTAGGTGAACTTAGGAGTCGATTAACCTCAATGGACTTGTTTTTCATCTGTAAAATGGCAGAACTGGACTGGATGCCTTCCAACATGCCTTCCAGCTGTAAATCTATAAGCAATCAAGGACGGCCTCCTGGAAGAGATAGGCTCAAGTGTGACAGCCTAATCCGGTGCAAAGAACCTCACCTGGGAGTCAGGAGACCAAGTCTGAATCCCAATTTTTCCGTAACTCACTGTGTGACCTTGGACAACTGACTTCACGTCTCTTGGCCTCAGTTTTTCTCATCTGTCCACCAGAGGTCTTGGACTACATGACCTCTCGGGCCCCTTCCAACTCTAGGGTTGATTCTATGGGACTCCTCAGTCCTCACTGACAAATCTGAAAGCATCAGAAATCTTTCAGGTGATTCTAGGCAAAGAAGCTAAGCACGCTCAGCACCCTAGGACTGCCTTTAAACCAACAGGGTCACCTGCAGTCAAGTTTGGGCCAACCCCTTAACTCCCACTAAGTCACTTTTGAATGTGCGTTAGCTAGACTTTGGAAAATTCACTCTATTTAATGGCCCTTCAGTGACCTTCTAACTTCCCATCCTTTTGGCTAAGGGCGATCATTTTGAGTTTCCACGACACCCTACCCAAACTGACGGCTGGGGTATATTCTGTTTCAGGCACAGGAGATGCTACAACCATCTCCTTTCAGAGCCAGAAGCCTCAGTGATAATCTAGTTCTAATCCCTTTACATAGAGGGAAAATGAGACTCAAAGAGAAGAGAATTGTCCAAGGTCACACAGCCAAGAAGTGGTGGAACTGAGTCCAAAGTCCAGGGCTCTGTCCATTTGACCCTAATGCCCGACTATATTCTGAACAGTTCCTGATTTCTCATTTTGACTTTCTTGGGGGGGGTGCTGGTCCCTTGGTACTACATATGGGACCAGAATAAAAGACCCCAAAAGGGCTTCAAATCTGAATGGTTCTGGGAGTGGGGCGGGCTCCAAAATTCCTCATGTAGGCAAAGGGAGAGGGAACTGCGGAGAGCATAGCTTTGCCATCTGTGTCTCCCAGTTCTGAGGTTCAAGGGAGCATCCACTCTCCTGGGACCAAGAGGGCAGCTGGAATGTAAGATCTGCTCCCCTTGAAACATCCCGATGGCCCCTTGGAACGCCGAGGAGCCGCCTTTGGAACGTCTGGTTGCCTTTGGAACATTGAGCTGCCCCTCTTGCAACACCTGCTTCATCTGTTGGAACATTGAGCCGTCCCCCTGGCAACACCTGCTTGATCCCCTGGCACGCTAAGTTGCCCCCTTGCAACATTTGCTTGTCCTCTTCTAACACTGAGCTGACCTCCTTGCAACCTCTAGTTGTCCCCCTTTAACACTGAACCGTCCTCCTTGCAATACCTGTTCGATCCCTTGGAACACTGAGCTGCCCCCTTGCAACATCTGCCTGTCTCCGTCTAACGCTAAACTGCCCCCTTGCAATATCTGCTTGTCTCCTTCTAACGCTGAGCTGCCCCTTTGCAACATCTGCCTGTCTCCGTCTAA